GCCCCCGGGAACCTCTCACTAGGCTTTTCCCTCAGAAAAGCACCAGTTGGAAAGAAACCCTTCTCTTTGGGCTGGGCCTAGCCCCGGGGCCCTGGTGCGCAGAGGGGGGAGCGGGAGTTTTTATGGGATGAGACATGGGGAAGGGCAAGGGATGAAAGGCATCACCCCAGTCCCTCCCCTGTGGTGTGTGGGTGCCTGCATCTGTGTTCCACACATATCTATCTCTCTCTCTCTCTCTCTCTCTCTCTCTCTCTCTCTCTCTCTCTCTTTCTCATAACCATTCTCCCCAAAGCCTTTAAGAATCTGCAAACCACATCCCTTTCCATCCTGGAGGGAGAGGCCCTGAGGCTGCGCTGTAAGGCTGACAGCAACCCCCCTGCCGAGCTGAGCTGGTTCCGGGGGTCCCCAGGCCTGGACGCCACCCCCATCTCCAGCTCCGCGATCCTGGAGCTGCCTCGCGTGGGGCCTGCACAGGAAGGAGAGTTCACCTGCCAAGCTCGGCACCCGCTGGGCTCCCACAGTGTCTCTCTCAGCCTCTCCGTGGTCTGTGAGTGGGGAGACCCCAGGGGGCAGGACAGCTGGGTTCTGGGGAGATTAGAGGCACCGCTGACCCTTCTCCTCGCTCCCCACAGATCCCCCGCAGCTGCTGGGACCCTCCTGCTCCTGGGAGGACCAGGGTCTGCACTGCAGCTGCTCCTCCAGGGCCCAGCCGGCCCCCTCCCTGCGCTGGCGGCTGGGGGCGGGGCTGCTGGAGGGGAACCATGGCAACGCGTCCCACGTGGTCACCTCCAGCTCAGAGGGGCCCTGGACCAACAGCTCCCTGAGCCTCAAGGAGGGGCTCAGCCCTGACCTCAGACTCAGCTGCGAGGCCTGGAATGTGCACGGGGCCAAGAGCGCCTCTGTCCTGCTGCTGCCAGGTCAGGGCCTGCTGGGGGCAAAGACCACGGAGAAAGGAGTGGGTCAGAGAGAAGGTGGGGCTGGGGGTGGGGGTTGCGTGGGGACAGGGGTGATTGCTAGGACAGGGCCTGCATCTCCTGCCTGAACAGAACCGACAGCGGGTACTGGGAGGAGGTGGGAAGAGGAGAAACTGAGTCCTGGGAGTGGGTGGTGTCACCTGAGCTGATGCTGGGGGAACAAGCCCTGAGCCCCTCCAGCCCTCAGCACCAGGGCTCCTGGAGCTGCCCCATGTGGGGCTGAGGCGGAGGGGAGTTCACCTGCCGGGCTCAGCACCCGCTGGGCTCCCAGCACGTCTCCTTCAGCCTCTCTGTGCAGAGTGAGGTGCAGGACAGGTGTGGGGCGGCCGCCTGGTCAGGTGTTGGGCTGTGGGTGGACTGACACCTGGACAACATGTCACCCTTCTCCCGCGTCCCCAGGCAGCCCTCCCTGCAGCTGTGTGACCGAGGAGCAGCAGGGCTCCTGGCCCCTGGTCCTCACCCTGATCAGAGGGGCCCTCATGGGGGCTGGCTTCCTCCTCACCTACGTCCTCACCTGGCTCTACTACACCAGGTGAGCAGGCCTGTCTCTCCCGGGGAAGGTCAGGGATTGGCCCTGAGGTCCAGGTGGGGCCGAGCTGTCCGGCTCTGCCTGGAGTTAGAGCCAAAGTGGCCGAGTCTCTGAGCTGACACCTGTGTGGGCCCCGCAGGTGTGGAGGCCCCCGGAACAGGAGGCAGAGCTCCTGATGGATCCTCCCTTCCTCTCAAGATGGGACTGAGGTGTGGACACCAGGTGAGAGGGACCGTCCTGGGGCGTCCATGTCACCTTCTTCCTGGAAGCTCTTGACTCACCTGCCTCCAATGTGCCCCTGGGGTTTCAGTGTGTGGAAGTGACTGAGTGACCACAAGGGGAGTCAGTGCCATGGAGAGAAGACTTTTACTCTTTTTTTTAATTATTTTATTTTATTTTATTTTTTTAATTTTTTTTTGCTAAAAGTATTACAAAGGGTATTACATATGTGTCCTTCCCCCGCCCCCGTCCTTGACAATCCCCTGCCCTCCCTTACCCCCCAGTGTCTTATGTCCATTAGTTGCTTATATGCATGCATACAAGTCCTTCGGTTGATCTTTTACTCCCCTCCCTCCTGCCCCCCAACCCTCCCTGGCCTTCCCACTGCAGTTTGACAATCAGTTTGAGGCAGCTCTGCCTCTGTATCTATTATTGTTCAAAAGTTTGTAATGGTCTTTATTATCCATGAATGAGTGAGATCATGTGGTATTTTTCCTTCATTGACTGGCTTATTTCACTTAGCATAATGCTTACTCTTTTTACCTCCTGAGAGGAGGGGCCGCTGTGCCTGGGAAGCCCTGGATTTCCTCAGGAAGCAGATGCAGGTGCAGGGCAGCCCAGCGAAGGCCTAGATTGGGGTTCCCATGGGAAACGCAAGGCAGGGCAGGGTGAGCAGTTCAGGACCAGCTGGTGTGTGTCAGTCTGGGGGATGGGCCTGTGGGCGTGGTCTCTGTTTGTCTGGTCCCAGGTCCTGGGTGATTTGGGGCAGGTGGGGAGGCTGAGAATATGGGCTCAGGATGGGTTGGTTTGCATCTGAAATTCTTTGCTGTCTCTGAGAATGGGCCGGCCCTGGGAGGCCCTGTGTCTCCTTGGCTTCCAATCTGTTTAATGGCTCAAAACATCCTGAGATACAGAAATAAACAATAATACACACCCACTGACGGCCCCCGTGTTTCTGCCTGTGCTGCTCCCATTTGACTTGTTCCCCTCCTGCCTCTTTCTTTCTCTCTGTTGGTTCTGCCCACTCATCCCCCACCCCCTGCTCCTCTCTCTCCATTCTCAGGCCCAGAGACGGACTGAAGTTGGCACCTTATCCTCCCCTTGCCCAGGAGTTACCTGGTCACCACCTGAGATTCTGGTCTCCCATCTGTAGGTGCTGATACACAGTAGAGTTCGGAGCAGCTCTCCTCTCCCTGTGCATAGATGCCAACCTCAGAATTATTGTCATAACACATCCCAGCATTTAATCATAAATGAAAACATTTATATGGTGTCACATGACCATTGATTTTACTCTGCTGTGTCTGTGGGAGTTTCTTGCATCTAATTGTATCTTGATCTTCTCTTTTTATTGTTGCTGTTGTTGAAGCTGTTTCAAGTAAGGGATTTTGTGTATTCATTGTAATTATTCTTCACTTGGTATTTATATCTCTTCTTATTTTTAAAAATATTCGTATTGATTTCTGATAGGATTTTGGAGGGAGAGAGAGGGATTGAAATGTCAAGGATGAGAGAGTCATTGATCGCCTGTTTTCTCCACATCCCCTACTGGGGATGAAGCCACTCACACAGGCTTGTGCCCTGACCGGGAGTCGAACCCTGACCTCTTGGTTCATAGACTGATGCTTAACCCCTCAGCCACACTGGCTGGACTATATCTATTCTATAACAATAAAAAATTTCAACATTTAAGACACATCCACCTATACTCTCACCATTTTGTATTGTTATTGCATATAGCTTACAGCTATAAATTTGATAAACTTTAGAGAACATTAATAATTACTTGGATGTAAATAATTATTTTATTTCTAGATTAACTGAGATATTTTTGATATAGAATGCATGCAAGTTTAAGGTATGCAATGTGCATATTTGATGCACCTACATAGTGAAGTGATTACCACAATAAGGTTCATCAACACTTCCATCCTCTCATGTAATTACCATTGTTATGGTTATAACACGAATGATGTGTAACCATAACAACTTTCAGGTACATAATACAATCCTGTTAATTGTACTTGCCATGCTGTCCAGGACATCCCCAGGAATTGTTCCTCTTGTAGCTGAAAGCTACCCTTGACCAACATCTCCCCATTTCCCCACCCCCAGCCCCTGCATCACCGTCTACTCTCTTTCTGTGAGTTCAGCGTCTTTAGACCCCACTGTGAGAACACACTGCAGGAAAACAATGACTATTTTGAAAAATACCCCTCACAGTTGTTCCTCTCATGCAGTTCTTGGTTTCCATGACAGAATCACTCTCCTCTCTGCAAAAATGTATTAAAGATCTAAATATAATACCAACCACTATAAACTCTCAGAGGGAAACATAGGGGGAAATCCCAGCACATTGGGTTTTGCAATGATTTCCTGCGTATTTACATCGAAAGCACAGACAAGGAAAGCAAACATAGACAAGTGGGACTGTACCAACTTAAAACCTGAGCACAAAAGGACACTCTCACCAGACTCCAGACTCCAGGATGGGAGAGAAGATGTATCTGTTAAGGAGTTAATATCCAGCATCTATTACAAACACACACAAGACAACATAAGAAACCCAAATAACACAATTGAAGAAATGGCTAAAACCTTGAATAGACATTTCTCCAAAGATGATTACAAATGGCCAACAAAGTCATAAAGAGAGACACAACATCAGCAATCCTACAGAACCATAAAAGATCTCCTCAGGCCTGTGGGAGTTTTCCTTGGTGCATCAGGGCATTAATATTCAAAACCCCACATCAGATTCCTACACGGACAAGGAAGTTATGTGGAAGGAGCATAGTAGGCCCGCGGTACAGAAAGTGATGGGGGAAGTGTAGTGATAAGCAGCTCCGAAGGTCACACACCCGAAACTAGCATTAGAAATTTTATGTCATGTGAGTCTCACCTCCACAAAAATTTCTCATTAGTTTATTTGTAAATCGCGTGAGCGCACACACACAAACACACACACGTGCACACACATGCATATATACATACAGAGTTCTCTCTTGGGATGGATTCTGTGGCCCCTCTTGAATGTGAAAATGGTTGCTTCCTTCCCCCAGTTCTTTCCTGTGGGTTGCTTTGGGATGGGCCTTGTGCTCTGAGGTGAGTCAGCGTGGCCCCTTCTCTGTCCCTGAGGCCCATCTTACCTGGCACAGCTTACGGGGAAATTTCCTCTTCTGCATTTCTGTCTATACCTTCTGGCTTGGAGAGAGAGAGAGAGAGAGAAAGAGAGAGAGAGAGAGAGAGAGAGAGAGAGAGAGAGAGAGAGAGAGAGATGGGGGAACATAAATCGGTTGCCTCCCATACTTGCTCTGAGCTGGTGTGGAAACGAGGTATATGCCCTGACCTGGAATTGAACCTGCAACCAATGTGCTGTAGGGAGGATGCTTCCACCAACAGAGCCATCCGGCCAGGGCTATCTATTTCCATCATTAAAGTCCTCCCTAACAGATGTATCATTTCCTCCATTGAGGTAGCTCATAGTGTATATTTGTAATGTGCATCTCTGAATGTTCCAGGAACATCGTAAGGTTCGATGTGTCCATGACATCTATTATACCATCCTGTTTTTTGTTGGTCCCTGTGCTATACGGATGCATTTGAGTTTTGCAATTTGATTTTGTCTCTAGAAACCTTGCTGACTCTCTTCTCAAGCCCCTACATGTGCATCTGTATGTACGTGTGGATTTTCCTATATAAACACAATCCTTGATGGAGAAAGTCAGCTTGATTTTTTTACAAATTTCATAGCTTTTACTTATTGCTCTTGCCTTGCTAGACTCGGACCCGGTGCTGCTGCGTTAGGTGTGGTGCTTGCTGAGCTCACCCCCTATCCCTCCAGGGGAGCCTCCTGCATCTCTAGCTGACTGTGAGGTTATCCTGAAGGGCTTTGACATCTCCCCCCCCCCCCCCCCCCCCCCCCGCAAAGGGTCCCCCCCTTGAGACCCCTCAGCAGGGGGGGGGGGGGAACAAAAACCCCCCCAA